GACTGATAAACCAAGAGCCGCCCAAACCTTTACTGCCTCACTGCAAGTAGCAAAAAGATGCAAGGCAAATTCCTCAAACTGGTGGCACAAATGACAAGTTGTCTGGCAAGCAACACGTTTAGTTAACAATAAATCACGAGCAGGTAAACACTGAGACGCAAGCTGCCAACAAAAACTCCTCACCTTTGGGGGAACCTGTAAATTCCAAATTCTCACCCACGGGCGCGAATCATCCGCCTCCGCCACAAGCTGCCGATAGCAAGACCGCACCGTATAATTCCCTTTATAATCATCGGCCCAGTACCATGAATCTGGTGGCAATCTAGTACTCAGAGGTAGCTTCATGATAAGAGCCGCATCACGGGCATCAAACAAGTCCCGAACACAATCATAGTCCCAGCCAGTCCCATGTATATTGAGCAAAGATGAGACCGGAGCAGTTATTACCGACTCGTGTAAAGATGTTGTTACATACGGATTCAGCACATCTGGTAACCAAGGGTCCTCTCCAATCCTGGTCCCTCGGCCATCACCAATACTTCTACGACAGCCCCTTCTCAACACCTCCTTTGCCTCTAGCAACCCTCTCCAGACAAACGAAGGATTACTACCAGCGCCCGCTTGAAAGAACGAAGTGGTGGGATAATAACATGCCTTATACACACGACTTACAAAAGAATTTGTCCTCGTGAGAAGTCTCCACGCCTGCTTTCCAAGAAGAGCCAAATTCATGTCCCTGATTCTTCTAAAACCCATGCCCCCACACTTCTTAGGCAAACACAAACCATCACAGATTTTCCACCGTATCCCTTTGCCATTACCAACACACCCGGTCCACCAATACTCATTCATCATAATCTCCAGCTCCTTACAAAGACCCTTAGGTAACAGGAAAATCATCATTGCGAAAGAGAGTAAGGCTTGAATAACATTCTTTAACAAAACCTCCCTTCCTGCTCTGGACAAAAACCTGGCATTCCAGCTCCTGACCTTATTCAACAGTTTTTCATTCAGGAAGCCCAAAATCTCATTGTGATGTTTTTGTTTATTCACTTTTCGTTCAATTATAAATTTTTAATGTTTAATTATTATTATTATTAAAAATAATTGTTGAAATGATGATGATTGTGATAATAATAATAATAACAATAAGAACTTATTTTAAGTTTTATATCTAAAATTGAATATATTTTAAGTATAAATCAAATAATTTAAAATTACCTAGGTAATATGAGTATGGTAACGTTATATGACATTGTTTGGTTCAAATTATGAGATTATGTTAGTAATTTTATATTACTACAAAACTAATGTGGTGGTAATATTTAATAGGTATCTAATTACCTCCCTCTTTTTAGATAACCTAAGCTTCCCTTTCAATATTCCAAGTTTGTCATTATTAATTATCACTTATATAACAATATATATGTGTGTGTGAGAGAAAAGTGAAAACAAGTCCTTAGGAGAAAACTAAGAACCAATCTTAATCTTACATCTAAAAAAAATTGGATGGACCAGATTTGCTTTTTATATATATATATATATATATATATATATATATAAAGGGAAATGGCACTTCTTCCCCCTAAGTTATATACTTATAGCACTTTCTCACCCTGAATTATTCAAGTGGTTGTTTTTCCCCCTGAAATGTTAAATGGACATATTTACCCTTAAAATAAATATTTTAAATAAATATTTCATTTATTTCCCTTCTCCAACAAATTATGACAATAATTTGGTTCAAACCAAACAAACACTATAGCAACCAAACCGAAATATTCCAATTACAATTTAGAATCGAAACTCGATATTTAGACTTTATTAAAATCGCGAACCGGAACGGACGATTCATGTTCCGAACTGAAAAAATAAAATACATTTATTGTTGAATTTAGACTATTTAAAATAAAAAATAAAATTTTAAAATAAAGACGGTTCAAAATTGCGAACGGATCCAGCACCGCCGATTCACAGTTCAAGATCTAATTTTTTTTATTCATAATTTTAATAAATTGAAATTCAAATATTAGGTTCTAGATCTGAATCGTAACCGAAAACTTTTAATTCAATTGCTATAGTGTCCGGTTCAGTTTGATCTGAAATGTGGTCATCCCTACGTATACGCGATAATTTGTTGGAGAAGTAAAATAAATAAAATGTTTACTTTAAGAGTAGAAATGTCAATTTAATATATCAGGGGGAAAAACCACCACTTTTAGAATAATTGAGGGGGCTAATGTGCTTACCTAAATAATTGAGGAGGAAAAATGGCTATAAGTATATAACTCAGGGGGAAAAAGTGCCATTTTCTCAAAAAAAAAATGCGATGACATTTTTGTAATTATCACCAATTTTACTATGCAAACTTGAACACTGAAATCTACAATTTCGGTTAGCTAAGGAGCAGAACTGGAGTGGTCTTTACAAACCTTCCCAAGCTGAAGCAATTTCGGTCAGAGAAGCCTTGAAATGGTTGTAGGTTTTAGGTGTGGGCTCAGTTCAAGTAGAGACAGATGCTCTCCTATAGATTCAAGATCTTAATCATTTTAACTATGTTTCATCTGTTGACCTTGTTCTTGAAGATATTAGGAAACTAGCTATGAATTTTTCCAACATTAGCTTTATGTATGTTAAACGATTTGCGAACATAGCGGTCCATTTGATTGCTCGGGAATCCTGTTTTTCTGCTGTTGATTGTAGGGAGTGGTAGTTTCACCCTCCTTGTATTTCTGATGTTATCGCTCGTGAAGTTTATAAATGTATTGTATTTTTGTTATCAAAAAAAAAAAAAAAATCAATTTTCAGAATTTTCCAGATTTGTACATTTAGTACTAACATTTTGCACATTTAGTATTAATATTTTGCACATTTAGTATTAAAAGATTGCACTCGCAAAAATGTGAAAGTACATTGCACTCAAGGTTTCGATTTTAGAGTTTATGACTGTGTTTTTTTGTTTTATTTGGTTTAGTGATTCACTTTTTACTGCTTAGCATCTAGCATTTATTATTTAGATTTAAAATTTAACTTTTTTCATTGATTTTATAAAATTTATCATGTTTGCATATTTAGATGTTAAAGATTGCATATTTAAGTGTTCAAATTTGCATAGTGAAGTTGATAATAATTACGAAAATGTCACCGCGTTTATTTTAAAAATTTGATCAGAACCATCAAATTTTCACAGATATAAGGTTGAGATTTGTTCTTAGTTTTCTCCTACGAGTGTGTTCTTAAGGGATCCAAAGTGTGTGTGTGTGTGTATATATATATATATATATATATATATATATATATATATATATATATATATATATATATATTTATTTATTTATTTATTTATTTATTTATTTATTTATATATTTATATATTTATATTTGTATGCATTAATGAATGAGTTGACATTTTAATCATATATGATATGATATGGACACAAGTGAGAGGTGCAAGGGGATTTGTAGGTACACCTTACTAACAAGATGCACTAACTTCGCCTTACCCGCCAACTGAATTACAATTTCCCAACAACAATGCACAAATAAAATCAACACGTGTGCACAATTTTAAAACCCCGCACAATATGTAAGTGCATACACAATAGTATAGGTGTGCACATATGAATCTAAAGACAAAAACAACCGACAACGACTTGGCATAAATAATGACGATTTGCACACTAACAAATCAATAGTGCACGCACACGATGCTCAAATCAGTGTACACTGATGACTCTTATTTTATATCATATTTCACTCCATTCTTAATTCTCTTTTACGCTCGAATCAAAGTGTTTATCGGGTTTTCAAACTAGAAGATTGTGTTTTATACTCAGTGATGTCCAATTACACTATGATGAGCGAAAATTGAAAAGGAAGCAAAAGCAGGTCAAATTGGAGCGAAAGTATACGGGATCAAGCATACGGAAGTAAATTCGAAAAAAGACACGCAAAAGGAGCACAAGCTGAGTTCGTGATGAAAACGTACTGCCTTTTATATTTTGTGAAATAAGATGTGCTATTATTGGGTATAGAGAATAGTCATTTTGAATAATCCTCTTTAATTAACTATTTTGCCTTTGTGTAAAAAAAAAAAAAAAAAAAAAAACTATTTTGTCAATGCTGTGGCACCGGGGAGGTTGCAAGGAGACTACCTAGAGCAAGAGATCAAATGGCATGCCATTACTGTTAATGCCGATACCATCCTCAATGTTGATTTATGTATCGTGGTCTAAAAAAATTGATTGAAATGTGACACTAACATCATGCAATTATCAAAATATGATGTTGCTGAAAATTGGACGAAACTATAAAAAACACATTTGGAAAATGCGTTTTATTACATTTTCGGTCAAACATGAAACGCAAGTGGGACTTGCGTGTTTCTCGAGAAACGCATTTTTTTTTTTTTGGATATTCTCCAGCGAAGGAGAAGGCCACCAGTTTGGTTGCCTCTCCTTCACCGGAGAAGACCAAAAAAAAAAAAAACAACAATGCAAGTGAGATTTGCTTTTCTCAAGAAACACAAGTTCCACTTGCATTTCATGTTTGACCGGAAATGTGATAAAATGCATTTCCCAAACGTGTTTTTCATAGTTTCGTTCAGCAAAGTCATATTTCGGGAATTGCATGATGCTAGTGTTACATTTCAGTCCATTTCCCTCATGGTCTATTCAGTTTTTAAAGTTATTCAAATTATGAAATATTATTTCTCATTAAATAGTATTCTTTTTTTTTTTTTCCTTAATCCATTCCGGCCCTAATAAAATGGGAATTTTTATGACCTTGAACACAACTTTAATTTTCCTGAAAACCTCTGAAAAATAACAACCCAACCAAAATGCACTCACAACCATCAGCTTCAGGGCTCTCTTATACTATAAAACGCCCACAAATCCCCCATTACCAAATCGCGGAACACATCAATAGAAGAGTAGAAAAGAAGTACAGCCACCCACCAATCAATAAAACCAAACCAGGCCATCCAAGAAACCAAAAATAATGGCAAGGGTGGCTGTTGTTGCACTCATCTCCGCTCTCTCCATTCTGGCCCTCGCCACCACCTCCGTCCACGGCGCCCCCGCCGAGAAATTCACCGTCCGCGGCAAGGTCTACTGCGACACCTGCCGCGTCCAGTTCCAGACCAGAATCAGCGAGTACATGGCGGGCGTGGTTGTGCGCTTGGACTGCAAAAACACAGACAACGAGACCGTGACCTATAGCGCGGAAGGCGAGACGGGAGCCGACGGGAAGTATAATTTGAGCGTGGATAGAGAGCACGAGAACGATACGTGCGAGGTGACGGTGGTGAAGAGCCCCAAGGAGGATTGCAAGGAGACGATGGCGGGGTTGGAGAAGGCCACGGTGGTTTGCACGGAAAACGTTGGAGTGAACGGCTCCATCCGCTATGCTAACCCGCTCTTCTTCATGAAAAACAAAGCTGATGAGAGGTGCCACAAAGTCTTGGAGGAGATCAATTTCTCCTCTAATGAAAACATGATGTGATTTTCTTTGCTTCTCCTCATCAACAACATCATTCACTACCACTTCTCTTCTTCATTGTATGTGTACTTCGTTTGATTTGATTGAATAAATTCCAAGTTATAACAAGAACTACTTTCATACACTCATGTATATATGAACTTGGTTGATTGCTAATGTTATTAACTAGTTATACTCTCTAATTAATACAATCAATTATCAGCTAACAGCTATTTATCACCAGACCCTTAGCTAAATAGCTAGACGCACATAAATGAGCTTGGCCTGTAAGTATTTTATTATACGTGGACTTGCAAGTATTTAATATTTAATGAATTTGTTAAGCATGCCAACTATGTTGCAGAGGTGTGTAGGAGTTAGGTAAGGTTCTGTTTAACTGTATTGTTCTGTTTTCTTATATAAAATAAAATATGCATTAGGCGTCTCCTAATTCTCGGCCAGGACGGGTTCGGTTAAGTAACTCCATGGAAAATGACCATTCATTCATTGTCTAAAAAATTTAACAAACACAATCAATAAAAAATTGTAATAATCAAATATACATAGTAACATTACAAATACACTTGATTGGTGGTCGGTTATAAGTTCAAAACGGATGGTTTAAAAATTTTGTGAAATTAAAAATCAACTTGCTATAATAGAATTATAATTATAATTTTAATATGGTTCTGGCTAAAATTTAAATTAGAATTGGTTTTTTTCCTATATACCTAGTACTTAATTTTTAGAGGTCCCGATATATATTTTTAACCTAGCTAAATAAAAAAATCTACAATTAATCCTAAAATTTTAGTTTTAGTTTTTTTTTTTTTTTTTTTTTTTTTTCAAATCACCCCCTCATATTAATTAGGACCTAATTATCTAATTTATTAAGCATGATAAAACCATTATGCTCAAAAACCAGCCCTGCTAATACTGTTCTATAGTCTTAATTAAAATTTGTTGGTTGTATCTTGCTGTTTGATTTTAGTCTTAATTAAAATTTGTTGGTTGTATCTTGCTGTTTGTACATTATTGAACGTCAGAGCCACCCCTTATCAAAGTTGTCAAATTAGAAGAAGTAGACTGACATAGGTGTGTAAATGAGCCGAACAATTCGCGAGCTACTTGGTGAACTTCGATTTCAGGCTGAACTTGAGTCAGTTCGTTTCATAGTTGAGTTGAGCTCGAGCTCAAATGTTTTAGGAGGCTCATATATGATTCGTCAAGCCGCTCACAAACCCCGTATGTATATATATATATATATATATATATATATATATATATATATATATATATATATATATATATATCCACTTGGCTCAAACTCGGTCAACTCTTTAAGCTCGAGCTAAGCTTGGGCTTCAATTTTCGAGCTCGAGCCTACCTATTGTTTATCGAACTTGAACTGGGCTCAACTCGTTTACATTCCTAAAATGGCATATTTAATGAAGAAGAGAACGCAAGAAAATAATGTCACATTATTTTTTATTTTTTTAAATTTTCATTTTGAACCAAAATATATATCGACCATTCCAAATTGAAAATCCATTTTGACTTATTCCATTTTGACTGTTTTCTTTACTATGAATATTATAATGCTTAATTATGAATATTAGAAAATAATTTCAGTAAAATGAAAATGTAATGGGACTCGAATTAAAAACGAAAAAAAAAAAAAAAAAAAAATTTAAGGTGCGCTATGACGCACTGAAGTAATATACAACTACAGAGTATATATAAAGAAGAAAGTAGTTTTAGGGAAACAAAGTTTCAATCAAACCCTTTGGTAAGTCTCCAATTCTCAACTTCTTCTTCATTCCGCTTGCGTAAACGTTCCGACCCAAAGAATCTTGCGATTCACTTCAACTCAATTCAATTTCAATGGCTAACAGCAATCTCCCTCGAAGAATCATCAAGGTACGCTTCGATCTTCTTCGATCTCTCCTTCGATTCATCCATAAACTTCCACTCTCTACTCTTTTTGATTCATCCACCAACTTCGATTTCCACCGCCCATTTTCTATTCGATCATTCTGACTATTTTTTGTTGTCTAATCTTTAGGGCTGCTTGCCTTTTCATCATCTTCTGACTATTTTTTGTTGTCTAATCTTTTAGGAAACACAGCGGCTCCTTAGCGAACCAGGTATACTCGATGTGTCTGTCTGTGCTAAAATTTTGGTTTATCTTGCTTATTGAGTGTGGATATAGTGTTTGCCGAAGTTTTTATCTCCTCTAGGAATGGTTTGTAAGCTCTGCTACTAACCGAATTTCGAGCATGATGTTCATAAAGTAACTTTTGGTGTTGCACTTCAGTTATTGAGATTTGGAATAGTATGCCGGTGATTCCTGTATTTTGTTTCTCATTCAGGATATGGAGCTTAGATTGCATGTTTATTTGTGGATTTATAATGTTGATTGTGATATGCATATTTGTAATTGATGAGGTTTCAGAATTTTTGTACTGTTCTTGATTTTTTTTTTTTTTTTTTGCAGCCCCGGGAATAAGTGCATCTCCATCAGAAGACAATATGCGGTATTTTAATGTGATGATTCTTGGTCCGTCACAGTCTCCTTATGAAGGTAATTGGTATTCCTCTGGGTAGATGAGTGGTGAAGACTATGTGTTTTTATCCATCATATCATATCATGTTGTATATGTGCTTAATTGACAAAACTCATTTTATGTTTAGATAACAAAGAGGTTGAAGCAACTAAATAACTGTTTTCTTGAGGTCATTTTTAAACTGATCATAGATATTTCTCACCTTTTTGAAGCTACAAAACTTTTCTACTATAAAACACTACTACTTTCAAGTCTCAATTAGGTCTTTCTCTTGAACAATTGCAAATTTGGGCATGTAATGGAAACATGTTTGCTCTTGCTGATTAATAATCATCAAGGTTGATTCTGTGTCTTTCTGTTCATGACTTCATGTTATTCTTGGATGTCTTTTTATATGTTTGAGTTTTAGGTTTTTTCTTTTTCTCCTGGGATAAGAATTAAATGAAAATCAAGCTTTGGCAGTTTAATGTTGGCATCCTAATAATGGGGCCATGGATTTGATCTTTTTAGGTTTGACCCATGTGTGTTCTTTATATTTTTAAAAGGATAGCAGTTCAGAAAATACTGAATATGATTTCTTTTTACTGAACTCTCCTTGACTGTTCTTTTCTTTCACTTAATTTTCTCTGTAGGTGGTGTTTTCAAGCTGGAATTGTTTTTGCCTGAAGAGTACCCAATGGCTGCTCCAAAGGTATTTCAATAAATTTTAAAAAAATTCTGACTGCTTGCTCAGTTTCTTGCAGCTGTTAATCTTTGACTACTTTGCAAGCTGTACCCTCTAGGATTGTTTACTCTCCCTGTTACAGCAGAATTCTTTGGCTTTATGAATGAAAAACTTTGATTTGGGCAAGTGATTAATTATGCCCGTCTGGGTACTTCCCTTATTTACTGCATTTTCTGCATATAAAACTTTAATGGATCATTAGCTAGATAATACTGCAGCTCTTGTTATACACTGATTGGATTTCTATGCTATTTTGAAGCATAGCACATTTCTAGTTCTTATATACTGAATGGGTTTTCCATGTCCCTGCTGAATCCTAATTCTGATTCGCAGTTTACCTGATTGTGCAGTCTTTGCAGTTACTGCTTTGCTTGTTAGGAATTTCCACTGCACACTAAGTATGCACCTAGCTGTATGTTGTACCTGCCATTAACCGTATTCTTATACATATGGTTGTCCTTTGAGCAACAATGCCAGTATCACTAGCTATGACCTTACTGTGACTGTTTTCCCGCACATGAAGTAGAATGCTTGATTACCTTACTGCGAATATGTTTTCTTGCTCTGAGGGCACTTTTTCATATTATGGTATTGATGATAATATTCATACATGTCCATCTTTTTCCAGGTTCGGTTCCTCACCAAAATCTACCACCCTAACATTGATAAGGTTTGTTGTAATATTTAATCATCTAATTCCTTTTTAATTGATCTTTAATTTTTATTCATGGGTTGAATCTCTGTGCAGCTTGGAAGGATCTGTCTTGATATTCTCAAAGACAAGTGGAGTCCTGCTCTTCAGATTCGTACTGTACTTTTGAGGTATTGAAGTTCCTTCTTTTGATTTTAGTTAGTGACTATGAGAAACATTAGGAAAATAATAGCATTTTGAGAATACAAAATTGTTGTGAAATCTCTGGCTGAAGACTACATTAAGTGTTGGTGATGCATTCCATAGTGGTTTTATGCAATCTGATTATTGATGTTTCAGCATTCAAGCACTTTTGAGTGCTCCAAATCCAGATGATCCACTTTCTGAAAACATTGCAAAACATTGGAAGACAAATGAGGTTGAAGCTGTTGAAACAGGTGCTTTCACATTTTTTATTGGGCATGCCAAACTAAAAAGTTGTACTAGCAATAGTCATTGATTCTTTTTTATTGTATTTTGCAGCAAAAGAATGGACTCGCCTTTATGCTAGTGGTGCTTGAACTCTGCCGACGAAGCACTTTGAAATAACAAAATGTGCAATGTACTCTATTAACTGTTGAATTAAAATGGGGTGCCAAGAAGTGATCATGTTTGGAACAAACCAGAATTATTGTTTGAACTATTTAGTCATTCAAGTTACTGCTAGATAATTGTTTCCCCAACCCTCGAAATTTTATTGTATCAACTATAATATAAAGGCTCACCAAGGGTTACGGACCCTTGAAATGCGTCCATTTTCCGGCCGGTGAGTCCTTTGTTAAATTTGTAATGATGATATATGAAATGTGTAATGATGATATGGTCGGAGTGATTTTTCAGTTAGATTATGTGTTGGGAATATTTGTTTTCATTGTTGTTTTTAGCCTTACAGGTACTTGTCCCTTCTTTTTCTTGGTTTGGCCTGTTTTGAGTTGGATATGATATGCACATGTAATGTAATGATAGGGATAAGATCACGCCTTTAAAAGAAGGAAAATTTGCAAAGAGCTAGGAAGGCATATATGTAATCACTAGCATTGTTGGCCGGTCACATTCAAGCTCGAAACTACCTCAGGCCAACTTATCCCTAATGTGAAGAAGTTTTACCATTTAGTTGGACATTTTGATATTTTTGTTTAAATACTGGAATAGTTAGAATAAGAGCCAAGTTTAGGTGTTTAGGGTTAGTTCATGAACTTGGTGTTGAGTCAAAATTTGATGTATCAGTATACGTTGAGCTACATTGTCATCTTATGATTTGTTAAAATCAATGAACTATCGCTACCATCACGATTTGCTCATATTTCGTATATATATACACATCACTATCATCGTTCTCAGTTCTCATACTTCAAAAAAAAATAATAATAATAATAATAATAATAATAATAATAATAATAATAAATAATTAAAAAAAAAAAAAAGTAAAGGAAGTAAATCGCTTGACCTAAAATGTATTAAAAATGCAACAAATAATGTACACTAAGTATTAATATTGAATGCATCTAACATTATCATTAAGTGCACCAATGTTAAAAAGGAAAATTACTTGCAATATTAAGTGAAAATGGTTACACTTTCAAGTGATTTTACTTGCACTAGTTATTTGTACTTTTAACACATACGGAGTATTATTTACACCAAAATTTGAGTTATTTACGAAAATATCACCGCATCTTTTTTAAAATTACATCTGATCCGTTAAATCTAGACACGTGAACGGGGGTTGCGATTGATTTTCAATTCTTTTCTAGTCATCTATTCTCACCAGTGGTCACCTTCTCTGTGATCTAAGAAGGCAACGCTGGGTTGCCTTTTGCGGTAATTTGAGAAGGCAACGTTGGGTCGCCTTCTCCAGTGATCTGAAAAGGCAACCATTGTTTGCCTTCCTTCTCCGCAACCGGCGACCGTTTGCCGGTCATCGATCTTTTTTTGTCAGAATTTGCGTCAGTGTCGATGGAACCTTAGTGACCAATACATGTCACTAACTAATTTTTGGGCTTCATTACACCAAAATACAATGTTGATGGGTTTAATTATAACTTTAAAATGTTTAGGGGCCTAATTGACTTTTCAAGTAAAATTTAAGAGCCTACTTGACTTTTCAAGTAAAGTTTAAGGGTCTATTTGACCATTTCCCTTATATTTAAGAATTCTTCTTTTTGAGTTTCATTTTCAGGCTCTTCTATTATAGCAACATTATCAGTTTAATCCCAGTGCAGTTTTTAAGGAATTTTTGTAAGATTGATTTAGAAAAGAGAAAATGAGAAGGGAGAGAAAAAAGAAAAAAAAAAAAAAAAAAAAAAAACTGAAATTTAAAAAAAAAAAAAAAAAATAGTGCGTCAGGTGACGCGCCACACGAGCACGTGCACTGCACACGCCCGTGTGGCCATCGGCGGTGCGCGTTGAGAAGAGAATATACTTGAAAACAAATTTTTTAAAAAACAAAAAAAAAAAAAAAAAAACATAATGGCCTGTTCAAAACAACCTCCAGGTTTTGGACTTTTGGCCACAGAAACAGAGCTTAGGCAGACACAGTTGAATTAGGCATGTTCATGATACTATCAAAGCTGCAAAACAATAGGAATGTGTAAACAAGAAAAGCAACAACAACAACAAAGGAAATGATAAATTTTATTGATGGAATGGTTGAACAAAGAAACAGTCAAAATCGATAACATGATCGATCATATTCACCCTTCTTTCTTTCACTGCCCGGAGAAGTACCAACCGCCCTGAAAATCAATCTCAACCACACTATCACGTTCATCCTTTCACTAGCCCGCCCAGCGGCCTGGTGCGATACTCACCCGCCAGCCATGGAATCTCCCACTGTTTGGTATATATTGTCACATATATACAGTCTAAAGCCAGCCATCTCGACTAGATTCTCTTAAATGTGCAACTAAAGGATATCGTTTTTAATCAATTGTACATACATTTCACTATCTCTCCTTACAAGTGAAGATCGTTGTAATATGTAGAGGCCAGCCTACTTGAGGGCAAAAAGGTAAAGAGAAAAAGGTAATGAAAAACCGATGGGAAGAATTCTGGAACCAAACGGCATTGAGGAGGAATGAATGAATAAATTTGAAGGAAAACGCTAAACTACCCGTCTCAATTCCACTAACCTTTGGGTTGATCGAAATGGTTCCTAATAAAGATTATTAGGTGGTCGGAACAACAAACAATTCTTGTATAATGCCAGAAAGGCAGATCCCGCTAAACTGGGGCTGGGCTCGGGAAGCATATGAGGAAACGAAGGCTGAAAAACGAGAAGTAATCAAGTTCTAAATACAGTAATGCCTCACCAAAGACTCCAACTCCTCGGGACTCGGGCAGACCAGATCCTTCACCCGCTCGCCCTTCTTGTAAATTTTGAACGTTGGTACAATTCTAACATTCTCGGCATTAGCAAGTACTGGGCAGTCTTCAACATCCACCTTCAATTAAACAAACCAAGAAACAAATTTTACATTTTCATATTATGTTTGGAACTATGAAAAATCTACTCGCTCTAGTATTGTACCTTGAGAAAATTTATGGACCGATATTTGCTACACAATGTATCCAAGAATGCGGAAATCTCCCAGCACTGTACATTCGAAGCTGCTTTAAATTGAACCACCGATACTCCTGCAATTTTCTTACTGTAAATGCTTGGTCATTGGAATAAGAAAGGGCAAATGAATTATCATGGGAAAAACCTACCCGGAGATGAAATTGCGGCTCGAAACTGTTCGAGACCCGAAACAATTTCAACCTCTCGACCGAACTTCGAATCATGAACCTCTTCCCCCCGGGATTTCTTAAGTGCACCTCGAGCATGAAACAAAGACTCGGCAACTTCATTATCGTGTGGAAGCTCTCTCTTCAAGACTTCATAATCTCTTACAGCTTCGGCCCATAGCTCAAGCTATAGACACATTTAAGAACTTTTGTAATCATCATATATAAAAGCACGAGACCATCGAAAAGAAAAAGAGAGAATTCTTTTTTTTAAAAAATTGTAGCAATTTACCTTCATGTTTGAGGCAGCCCTTCGGAGGAGGGCTTTGGTATATTTTGGCTGGATATGGAGAGCTTGATTGCAATCACCGACAGATTTTTCCCATTGCCCGAGTTTATACCAGCAAGCTGCTCTATTGCAGTACAGAACTGAATTTGACGGGTCAAGCCTGAGACCATCCCCATATGCTGCACAAGCTTCGGTATACCTTTCAGATTTAAATAGGTCATTGCCACGGATGCGAGCTTGGCTAACCAATCGCACATTGCTGAGTAAAAGCGAAACTTCGATGTTTCGAGAGTCGATCTGCCCAGCTTTCTCGATGGCTGAAAGTGCATTTCCAAACCTGCAATAGTCATAATCCATTCTCATGTACCTCTTGAATCCTTAAGTGTTATCGGGCAAAGTTTACGATCCCAAACTCACCTTCCAAGCGCCAATTCAACCTGAGCCCGTACAAATAATAGATACGCTTCGGAAAACATCCCGAAAATCTTTGACTGGGTTGTTGGCTTTATTTGAGGAACGTTCGATAGGCTCGAGTCAGCGTCGTCTAATTGGGAGAGCTTCAGAAGCGCTTCGGCTCTACAAGCAAATAGCTGCAAATTCAATTTAACTAAATCAGATAGCACTGAAAAGTGAAAACCTTTCCGTGAATCACGTTACCGAAAATGCTACACTTTGAGCAACGCCCTTACCTGAGGAGACGCCTCGGCTCCAGAGGCAATTGCACCGTCAGCTTCCCTCAACATACTCCTCCAATCTCCAAGTCTCCTGGCATCGTTGCATTTTCCTATATGTTTCTCCACCCTCTCCAACTTCTTCAATTCGTCGTGATCTGGCTGGTGGCCCGCTAAACACATGTGTCGCCTGGCATTTTCGACCTGTCCTAAACTGCAATCCTTAGATGAATTAGATCGCTTACAACTCAGTAGAAAATAAGCAATGGCCCAAGAATGAAAGAAATTGGATTTTGTAATTTATTTGCAAAATTAACTACTTAGTACAATTTAAGTAGGACGTTATCTACCCAGAGAAGGAGGATTAACAGGAACAGCCTCCAAGTGAATTACTCCATATTTACCAAGAATTAGACTGTCTAATTTTGGGGAACCAAAGTTATGTCTAATAGTAACACAATGACACAACAATCGAAAACAAGCAAACTTATCAACTGAAGAGATTACCAAAATGGACTCGATCCCGCAAAGGGCAAACAAAAACCAGTCACACACACACCAAACCATCGCTGATCAATAATTGTCACATTTCACAGATTTCATGTCTGCATTCACAAAACTAGTCTATGAACCTAAGATCAATTTATCAAAACTGAATAATGTTAAAAATTTACACATTTTAACACATCCAAATACCATCACAGAAAATTCACAGCCAGAAAAGATATGTAGGAATCACAAGGCCACAAGGGTGAACAACAACCAGTCATATCAATGGCAGATACAGATAATGTCACAGCACATTTCACACAACTTGCATTTGCATTCACAAAACTAGTCAGCATACCAAATCAACATTTTTTGCAGAGTTTACACATTTTACAATATGCCAATTCAAAGAAGTTAACATAGCTAGACAAGATTTTCTGAAACCAATAAGAAAACATGCATAAAGATTTGAACTTTGAAGCAAAACATGCATAAAGATTTAAACTTTGAAGGAAAATAGTGCATAAAGATTTGAACTTTGAAGCAAAACCTAAAGCTTAATTTGACTTACCTAAGAAACAAAGATCCTAATCGATGGTGGGCTCTTACATATCCTTGATCCAATCTAACAGCTTCCTCACATTCCCTCAATGCTTCATCTACCCGCTTTAAAGCAATCAATGCTGCCGCCCGATTACAATGGTAGGCTGCATTTCTGGGTGAGATCGCAATGGCCTTATCATAAAGATTCAAAGCCTCGGCATACTGACCCTTCTTGTAGTGCTCATTCCCTATCCACTTCAACTCCTCTGGATCATTTCGCATTACACCCTTCAATGTCTCTCCAACCACTAATCCTTTCGAGTTTGTGGTACTACTAGCACCACTGGATTTGTGGGTTCCACCGCCCCGCATTATGCTGCCATGGCCATAATTCCCAGTCCCAGACCCCAAAACATCGTTCTTGGTGGCCCGGTTGGCCATGCCTGTCGTCAGCACCTTGCCGGACCGGCAGATGTTGCCGGACGGGCAGATGTTACCCGCCGGGAAAGTATTCAAAGCCGGAGAGCTGGCGGTGGTCCCTCCAGAGTAGATTAGCGGACTGGAACCGCCGGAATCCGACTTCGCATATCCGGGCTTAGACCCACGCCCGGGTGAACTGTCTACCGAACCTGATAGCTCACTGGAGTGGTTCAAATCGGACCGCTTCTGAACCGGGTTAAGCCCATTTCTACCCGATACCGATCCAGACGAGCTAGAGCTACTACTGGTGGTGGCGGTTGAAGAACTAGTCCCTCTCCGGCGGAAAAGCAACGGCGACACCGGCGAGCCCAGATCGAGTTCCCTGAAATCCGGCTTGTCAATTTCCGGTTCATTGCATCTCAGCGAGTTCTTGAACCGATCACCCAACCCATCAGCCCCAGAAATGGATCCCTTCCTAGAATGCGACATCTTCAAATCCCTTATTTCTTTTTTTCTCTCTCTCACTCTCTCACTATATACACACACCCAATGTGTGTGTATATATGGATAGAAATTTCACTGTGTATATCTTCACTTCTCTCTTATCACCGGGAACCAGCGGCAATGTGTGAAGAAGCTCTGAAAAAGACATACACAGAGAGATATAGAAAGGGAGAGTGTCAGAGAGAAAGAGAAGAAGAGAAAGGGATCTCGTGATATAAAAGGGCGAAGCAAAGAATGAATGTGAGGGTTGAGAAGAAGAGAGGTGGATAGATGGTGGTGGTGGTGGTGGCAAGACCTGAGAAAGAAGAGGAGAGAGAAACAAAGAAAGAAAGAGATCCTGTTTTAAGGAGAGAGAAGAGGTTTTACAGTGCGAGAGAGAAAGAGAAAGAGAAAAGTTTTTATTTTTATTTCTTTTCCTTTTTATATTTCCCCTGCTGAGTCACGAGACAATTCTTCCTGTATCTTCCTACATTAGGACATTTATCACTTCTTCAAAAAAAAAAAAAAGAGCAAATTACAATATTAGTTCTTTATTATTCCTTAATTATTATTATTGTTGTATTATCACATTTATTTATATTTTTTAAATTTTGTCACATTATATCATTGATTTTTAGACCTCACGCCCTCACAGAGCATCTAAAAGGATGTAAATTATACTAAAATTATAGTAACTCAGCAGGAACTGCAAAAAAAAAAATAGTAACTCAGCAGGTTGGTCCCACACTACCCCTGGTGAGATCGATTATGGGTCATTGTTCCCAAACTTCACCCATGTGACCAACTGAGTTGTCTATGCAGACATTTTTGTCATTACATATTGTGTCAATGACCTTTTTAGTCTAGTGGCACGAAGTGACTCTCCCAAATGAGAGGTTAACTCTAGATACTACATTGTAACAGAGCCAGTAGTTCTAAAAAAAAAATACATATTCTGGGCAAGATAAATTACATGTTAATCATTTTTGTTAAAAATCAATTGTGGCAAACAAATAAAGATTAATAATGTAATGAAAGGAAATTGTAATTGTAATTGTAATCATATAAAAAGAGGAAGATGATATGTAATTTTTGAAATAGTTGTACCATTTTAGATGTTGCATTGAACTTCTGTCATAAATTTATAAAAACCTTATAATAAGAATTTAAACTGCTATTTCAATAATAATTGATAATTGATGGATCAAAAATAAAAAATACATTTTAGTTGAGAGATTGAGTCTATAATTCAACTATTGCTCAAAGATCGAAATTGCTATTTTCTTAATTTTATTTTGCTTTTGGTCAATTGAATATAATGATATTTCTACATATATTTTTAGTTTTAGTTTCATTTGTAGTCATAAATTTAAAAAATCATTCCACTTTTAGTTCAAATGTACAAGATACATTTATTTGTAGAAATTTTTATCAAATTTTTCAATATAAAATTTAATAGCATTTTGAATATTTTAGACTAGTAGTCTAATATTTTAATATTTTATAAAGTAGTGACTGAACAAGGGAAAAGATAAGTGATGTGCCATGCGTAAATATCTTACTATAGATTACAACCAATAAATTTTAAAAAATGGAATAAACTCTTTGTAAGATATTGTAACTGTTTGAATAAAATGCATTTTGTTGTATTGTCTTTGTAAAAAATGCATTTATACAAAAATTTGATTTTTTTTCCTTAAATGATATGAATTGTGATACATACGAACAATTTTTATAATTATTTGTAAAATTGTTAGATTTTATCATAAGTTAATAACTTAAATCACAATAAATAATACAAAATTCAGTTCATATTTTATTTTTCAAGGCTATGTCAAAACATGGATATTTTTTGTTTTTGTTTGTAAAAAAAATACTAACAAAAAATTTCGTAATATTTATACATATATTTTCCAAAAAAAAATAAAATTTGCTTTTATTTTTCTCAAATTTCTCTTTTCTTTTTTGGACAATAAATGCTCTACTTGAAAATAGTTTTGAGTACATTTGAATAAAAGGCAATTGAATTCTCATTTACTCCTATTTCATTTACTCACTTTAATGGTTGAAAGTCAAACTAAATATTTTGTTAATTCTTTTTTAAACATAATTCATAGTTCGTGAAGGTTTGATATTTGATGCATTTCTTAAATTATATACATATATTTTGATAATACCAAATTAGTAAAAACGTTAAAATACCTGATAATAAGAATGTTGACTTTTATAAATAAAAAGGCCAATAACATTTTTTTTCGTTATAAATAGAATAATAATTTTATTTTTTAAAAGTTTAAAAATAATTTTTTTTAAATGCTAGTGACTCTATTACATTGTAGGAAAGATTACTACATGTCATCTGAGCACAAGGTGCTTGGTGTTTAAAAATAATTTTATTTTCACTATTTACAACAAATTACATTACCATTTTCTATTTCTAATAGTCTACATTTGTACTCCGTACTATTTAGTATTGTAAAATTAACTAAAGTAATATATATATATATATATATATATATATATATATATATATATTATGAACAAGTTAAGTTAATTTTTGTTAACTATATAAATAAATAAATAAATATATATATATATATATATATATATATATATATATATATATATGTATATATATATAAATAATATCATAATCATAATCATTATTATTATTAATTGATGGATTCAAAATGTTTTAAAATTGATAGAAGAAAATGCATGTGATAATGTCGTGCATAAAAAAATTAAATTTATCAAAAATAAAAAAGAGGCACATGGTATCACCTATTTAGGTATACCTTTCAAATTAAATGATTACCTATATATGTCACTTTTTATTTTTAGTTAATTGGTAACAATTTTATGCATAACATTGTATAACAATTAAGTACATTGTATTCAAATTACATCTCTGCAACTCTCTTTGAAGAAAGGCCATAAAATCGAACTCAGATAGTAAAGTATTGACTCTTTGAACTGCAATAGATAGAGAAAGTATAGAAAAGATACTACCTTGTAATAGAGTTAATAGTACTTAAAAATGTTGTAAAACAATACATAATAATGAATGCAAATCTATTGACTCTATTAGAATAGTATTTTAATAATAATAATAATAATAATAATAATAATAATAATAATAATAATAATAATAATAATAATATAATAATAATAATAATAATAATAATATAATAATAATAATAATAATGAATGCAAATCATTGATATTAAATATCAAAACGAAGTTTAAATTTGAGTTGTAATCTTTTATTGATTTTCATAATACATATTTTAATTGAAATTTATATTTGATTGAAATTTTTTTTCTGTGTATGAGTTTTGAGTATTAATTAATAGTACATTGGTTAGTAATATTTTCTTAAATAAATAGTTATTTATGACATGTCACTGTCTCCTTTTTTATTTAGTAGTTATATATCATTTTAGTATTATAACATTTGTTTAGTTATTATTATTATTATTCTTTTTGTCTAAATAAAAACAATAACTTGATAATGATATGTAAACCAAATATAGGGGAGTGAATTGCAGTCATATCTAAAGAAGCATTAAGGAGCGTTTGGTTCACAAAATGTTAGATTACCTTAGGAAATGTTAGATTGTAGGGAATGTTAGATTGCTGGGAATGTTAGATTACTGGGAATGTTAGATTCATGTGTTTGGTTTAAACTAAGATATGTAAATAAAACAACGGTAATAAGATAAATTGATTAAAACGTCCAAAGCCCAACATTAGTAATAAGACAAGGGAATGTGAGATTACCTAAGAAATTGGATGGTATCTCACATTCCCTTCCAATAGCTAATTAAAAACTTACAGGGCGTTTGGTTGGAGGGAATTTAAATTTCCTTCCCACCTAATTCTAAAGGCCATAAAATTCCTTAGTTTGGTGGGAGGAATTGCAATTCCATGGAATTGCAATTCCCCCATTTTCATGGAATTAAAATCCCATGTCCCCCCGAGATTTTAATTCCTAGAATTTTAGGAATAAAAAAAACTAGTGATGAGACAAAATTACCCTTTCATTTTTTTTAATCTAAAATTAATACCACAACAACAATGGATATTTTGGACTTTATACTACTTATTCCCTTTCAATTCCCATGTATACCAAACATTGGAATTGAAATTCTCAGTAATTCTATTCATGTAAACCAAACACTGAAATTTAAATTCTCACTTTATTCTCAGTAATTCATCTCCCATGGAATTGCAATTCGTTTCCCACGTAATTCCCCCCTCCAACCAAACGCCTATTAATGTGGAGGTTATCTGACATTCCTTGAAAAAATTACATAACCTGGCCTGAACCAAACATGAGAAACTTATATTGCCAAGCAAATATAACCTCGGTTACCTTATATAACTTGAACCAAACGCATCCTAAAATCTTCATTCCAATGAGAAATAATATCCATATCAAGTTCAAGTAATGGGAAAGGGAATGGGAATGGGTATGTGAAACTTTTTGAATCCATGCTAGGTTTGGACATGGGGCAAAGAGAACTATCCCAACCCTACTCCATCCCCTATCTATCTATCTACTCCGTAATATATTTTTATGGTGTGTTTTCGACTCATGAGTTCTTTTGTCCTTAAAATTAAAACATTATGTGAGGATATGAATGGGGAAGGAAATTCACTCTTTTGTGATGCATAGCTAGAAAATCGTGAATTTTTGTATAAATTTCTCTCTTGTGATGCATAGCTAGAAAATCGTGAATTTTTGTATGAATTATGACAACTCAAAAAGTGGTCAAAAACTTTATATTTTTTTCACTTTTTTCGTCATTGCTTGTGCTGATCAAAAATTCTAATCACCTTTAAATTGGTGCAGTGGTAAAAAAAATAATATTATATTAAAAAATTCAAGTTCTTACCCCCAAATTAAAGTGGTTAGAAAAATGTTAGCACTCATTTTCAAATTTTTAAATTTTTTGTTCATTTTATATATTCGTCTCCTGAGTTTTTATTTGTACTTTCTTAAAAAATTAGAGTGATATATTTTTTCATCATTTGCTCCTTGTTGAACACTTTTTGTGGCAATCAAGAAGTTTTCTGGCTATGGCCTTTGATGAAGAAAATTTTCTTGGAGAATTACCTAGGCAAGGCGGGTGCTCTTGCCGCAGATGCCATGCATCAAAAAAACAAACGAAGTTTTCTGGCTATGGCCTTTGGTGAAGAAAGAGGAGGAGAAGTAGAAGAACGAGATGGAAAGACACTTTGTTTTTTCTTTAATGTGTTTATTAAAGTCAAACAAAAGAATTCATGTCATATGGATTTCTTTACCAAAAGTCATAAATTTTTGTTTTGGTTGTTGACAAATTTTTTGACAACCATGACTAA